TACAAAAACCGAACTATGTGCTACAATAAATGGATTGATTATGACTTCAACAAGATTTGACACAACAAAACTTAGACACAACACAAATCAGGCCATTATCGACTTTAACTTGAATTCAAGGCAAGCAGTAAACAAGTGTATGTTATAAGAACTTAAAGGTACACCAATGACTGCATTTGGTTCCTTACCAGTAAGTCCCAACAAAGGCCATAGACTTCCATTTGACTGTTTGACGAGTTCCAAGAACTGAGTTGCATCAAACAGAGGTAGCTCATGCCTCGCAGTCATCTGGTTTCCACCTCCAATTAATGAATTCGACGTCTAGCCTCCCAAATTTCATTAAGTTTTGTCGATCAACGATCACGCATTTTGTTGCATTTGTGTAATGAGGTCCCACTGGATATGGAACCTAACTTCCACCATAAATATCACGTTTATGCTCTTTTTTTAAGCTAGTTGAATCTTCTGGATTATTGCCTGGAGGGATGAATCATTAATAACAATTCTCAGAGGCTGTAATGAGGAATATGAATTGATGTAAACATAGATCGCGGTAGTGATGAGAACAAAGGTTAGTACCTCTCTTTCTTTCTCCTCATCTAGCCTTTTGGCCCACCTTTTATCTTTTAAATAGGAAAAATTTTATATTTTTATCCCAAAAGATGATTGTAGTTCTCACCTATACACATTTGAATGTCTGAAATCGCGCAAGAAAATTGGAGATGATATTGAACTTTATTGAGACTACTATTTGATAAACTAATATCCATAAAGCTTTGGTTCTAAATCATTTGGTATATTTGTTATGCCTAGTTCGTTTTATTAGTCCAAATACAAGTACTTGAAGGTCTTTTGTTTCCATGTTACTCTTTAATCATGTGTCGTGATGAATATTCATTAGGTTACTCAAGCATAAGGAACCAAAGAAAAGAATTTATAGCAGTTAAATGGATGGTAGGGTTAGCATCAACAAGTAAAGCAAATAATTGTTGCTATTATAATTGTGGGACTTCTCTTTCTTCTTCATGATTTGATTGATTTAAAAATGAAAAAAACGATTCTGCCATACATTTTTCATCAATTCTCTTGTCCAATAACTTTCTTCTTCCAAATCCTTCACCATTTTTGTCAAAATCCTCATTGTTTCATTTTCACCCAAACCTCAGTTAGGTCTAATTGGTGCAATGACTATGTAACTTGCCATCAACTGTCCGAGTGAGGATATTTTATTTGCCCCCTATATGGACCATAATTATTATCCTTAACATTTTGTAGCGTAGAGAAAAAAGCTCAGCCCTTTATTTCACATGAACATACTCATAAAGTCCAAGTTTGTTCATAATAAGAGCCTAGGGGTTATTTTAATCAATTTGCAATGATTAAATGAAAAATAAAAGTGGGCTAAATTAGACAACTAGCAACAACTCTTTAGAGTATCTCCAATCTTGATTCAAATTTAAGTCAAGTTTAACTAAAAAACTTAATTGGGTACAAAGGGTTTTAATGGACAAACTCATATTTAAAGGTGGGCAAAAATTTAAATTTAATGGAGGTTGAAATATGATTATTAGATCTTTGAAGGAGAATGAAAACTGATTTGAGTAAAAATTTGAGTTTATCTTCATTTGATATAAGTTTAAGTAAAGACTTGGAGCATGTTTTTACTTAAATTTAAATTTGAGTCAAGATTTGAGAGTAAGGGTTGGAGATGCTCATACATTTGTCAGAAACCACATGAGGGAAGTTGCTAATTGTCAAATTCTAGGAGATATGTTTTTTTAAATTACCCTAATTTTTTTGTGAAAAATAGTAATTTGAAAAAATTAGCTGAAAGAAAGATGGAACATCAGTTAGATTGGAAGGTTGGCAACCTTTTGGAATATTTACCATAATAATTATTTTCAGCAATGCATCTGAAAAAAGTCTAATTGCAAATCCACCAGCTGAAATGGACAAGACAATATCATCTACTAATGCATAATACTTTCCATTACTTTGCAATGCATTATTTGAAATAGTTTAGCAACACACTACCAAACACAAACATAACATTAATGCCACAGAAGAGTTTCCCATCAGAATGATATTGGATTTCAGGCATTCTGGCAAGCAAAACTACCAAAGCAGAAAACTTCAAATATGTGAGACAAGATAAGGTGAACTGTGACAAGAACCAAGAAATTAAAAGCAACATGCAAAATCCTAATCGGCATTGATGGCAATTCTGTGCATGACCTTAGCAACAACTTCCTTAGAGGCCGTCAGCAGCTTGAGACTTTGGTTCAATCTCTCACGCTTTATGACAACTGACGGCGCTTCTTCTAGCAACTGTTCGAGTCCACCACCATGAGGGGCCATGAGTTCATTCACTATCTCCATCTCCATGTTCATGTTCATGTTCACCAGACTCTTAACACTAAATTGCAGGTGCAGAGCCATGCAATCAACAAGTCTTTTCAGAACAATCTTCTGGTATGCGGTAATTCTCATTTTTTTGTCAAATGCTTGGTCTCTAATAATAGGGAGGAGCCGCAAATGGCCAACTTCAACTTCCCCAAAACCATCAAAAGTGATCTGTGTGGACTTCTCCATCTCAATTATCTCCACCACTCGATCAACTGACATTTTCTTCCTCTTAGCAATAAGGTTCTGGGCTGCCCTTCTTGTAGATGACTCTAGTTGTGGATAATGTTCTGCATGACGCATCAAAACAGGAACCACCACCACTGTCTCAGTGTAGTCCCATACGACAGAGAGAAACTGAACTGGAGCTCCTGATATCTCATTTACTTTTTTCTGCAGGAGCATGAGAAAAGCCGAGTGAGGAAAGAAATTTGGTAGCCCCATGCCTCTGGTTTCCTCAAGAACCTTTATCTCCTCCATTAGAAAATTGTCCGTGTAGTTATTTTCTGAACTCTTTTGCAGTTCCTGAGTACACTGGTTGAGCATTTTTGCAAGTCGAGCAGTGCAATGCATGTGTTTGTCATCTGGGTATTCCTCGAACTCGTCTCTCAAGAGGACTTTCCTAAGACAAGGGGGGAGAATGTGCTAGGACAAGGCCTTTTGGTGTTAATGAGGTTGTTTTGGATGGTTATAATTTGGAGATGTATATGATTCAATTGCAGGAGCTGAGGATTGCAAAAAGAGTAGGCAGGAAGAGAGGGCTGAAATTTAGGTTGCTTGATACAACACAACCTATTTTGTTGAGACCAGATGGTCATCCTGATAAATATGGGCATTGGCCAATTGAGAATAAGACTCTGGTTAATGACTGTGTGCACTGGTGCTTGCCTGGACCTGTTGACACTTGGAATGATTTTTTACTAGAGATGTTGAAATGGGAAGATAGGAGCTAGATTAAAACGAATGCTACCCAATGAACAAAACTTCAGTCTATGGCGGATTCGGGAGTTGAGCTAGATCGCCTGACCAATTTTTTTTTATTTGGGTGGCAAACAAAAAGATACCAGTTAGATTTTTGTTCATAAATTTTGATTTTCTTTTTAAAAAAAAACACGTAGAGGTTCATAGACATTGTCAATGGAATTGTTTGGGAGGTCTGAAAATTGAGTTTCTATTTGTTGTGTTTAAAGGGGAGAATTACAAAAGGAACATGTTATACCGGTATTGCAAATGTTGTCATCGATGTTGATTTCTTGAAAAGATTTTTTTCATTTTCATTTTAATCACTTTATTAAATAGCCCCCTCACATTTGATAAATTACACAAAATCCCTTCAAATTTATTCACATGTAACGCATAATACCCTTGTCATCATGCTCCGTTAAACAACTTTCTAAAACTCGATGACATCCCTATATCTTTTATACCAAATTACCCCCATCATTTTCATTTAAAAATCTTTTACCCCCTGAATAAATCAATTTGTTGCAATAATTTACCCTCTCCTCCACTTCCCCTTCCCAACACACCCACATACACCTCTAAACACCACCGACTGCTACACTCTCCCCAACACTAACAAACAATCCCAAAACCACCATCCACCTATGCAACAAACCCCAAAATGCTCAACTGCCAGGCATGTACCCAGCATCCCTCACCCAAAACAACCACCACACACCCACGTGACCCAGCGCCACCGCTAGCCACCTCTCTCTCTCTCTCTCTCTCTCTCTCTCTCTCTCTCTCGCTGTGGGTAGGATATTCTATGAGGACCGGGCTTTTGGTGCAAATAAAAGTTCCAGAGACGCACCTGATTCTATTGTGGTTTTTGGTGGAAAACAATTGAACTCCCCAAAACCAACCTGATGCGAGGCTATACCAAGGTGAAACAATTGGGGGTGAAGCACAGAAGTGAGAGTAATTTGCAAAGCCAAGGAGTACTATCGCTGTCACCGGCTGGCCATCTCCACAGCCGAAGCCACAGATTGTCGGTTATGCCCTCTGCCACGAACGATTCACCGCTACTCCATTTACTGCCACTCTATACCATTCGGCTCCATCCCTAGAAACCAAACTCAGATGGCCCTCCCTCTCTCTCATGGAACGATGTTGCTTGTGCTGGTTTGGGTTTGTTAATCTGAGGTGATAACAGTGTTGCCAATTGGGGGTTTTGGTTTAACTGTAGGTGGGATTAAATTTTAATAATATTACTCGCTCTAACGTATGCTAAGACCTACAGCTAAATTAATAATATTAATTGATTAAATTAATATTTTAAGTGCAAATAGGTTTACTCATCATAAGCCATTCTCAACCAATGCATCTGAATTAAAGACTAATTACAAATCCACCAGCTGAAAATGACAAGACAATATCATCTACTCCCGCATAATACATTCCATTACATTGGAATTCATTATAGATTAGCAACACACTACCAAACACACAAACATAACATTAAGACCACCGAAGAGTTTCCCATCACAATAATATGGGATTTCAGGCATTCTAACAAAGCAAACCTACCAAAACAAAAAAACCGTCAAATATTTCAGACGACAACCGAGAAATTAAAAGCAAGATGCAGACAAAACCTAATCAGCATTGAAGGCAATTCTGTCCATGACCTTAGCAACAACTTCCTTAGAGTCCTTCAGCAGCTTGATACTTTTGTTCAATCTCTCACGCTTTGTGGCCACCGAATGCGATTCTTCTAGCAACCTTTCAAGTCCACCACCATGAGGATCCATGAGTTCAGTCAATATCTCTTTCTCCATGTCCATGTTCACCAGATTATTAACACTGAACTGTAGGTTCAGAGCCATGGAATCAACGAGTCTTTTAAGAACAATCTTCCAGTATGCTGTAATCCTCATTTTTATGTCAAATGCTTGGTCTCTAATACTAGGGAAGGACTTTAAATGCCCAACTTCAACTTCCCCAAAACCATCAATGGTGATCAGTGTGCACCTCGAATAATTATTCATAACATCGAGGAAGAGGTTTTTACTAGCCATGAGCTTACCCCATACTGTCAGATATTCAGGATCGCAAGTATAATCTATGATCTTCTCCATCTCAATTATCTCCGCCACTCGATCAGCAGACATATCCTTCCTCTTGGCAATAAGGTTCTGGGCTGCTCTTCTTGTAGATGACTCCAGCTGTGGATAATGTTCAGAGTGACGCTTTAAAACAGCAACCACCACTTTCTCAATGTACTCCCATACTTTAGAGACAAACTCAACCGGTGCTCCAGATATCTCCTTTACTTTGTTCTGCAGGATCATGAGAAAAGCCGCGCGAGGAAGGAAATTTGGTAGCCAAATGCCTCTGGTTTCCTCAAGAACTCGTATCTCCTCCATTAGAAAATTGTCCTTGTAGTTATCTTCTGAACTGTTTTCCAATTCCTGAGCGCACTGGTTGAGCATTTCTACAAGACGAGCAGTGCAATGCATGTGTTTGTCATCTGGGTATTCCTCGAACTCACCTCTCAAGAGAACTTTCCTAAGAGTCTCCACGGAGGAACCAATAATCTGCATCAAAGCAGACATTGCTTCTGGAACAGAAGTCAGATTCTGGGGCATTCTGGTGAGTTCTGACCTGTTTGCACTGAGCTTGTCATTGATCTTTCTAACAATCTCTGGCAAGCATTTTGCTATTATTGTAGCTTGAATTCGCACCAACTTTTGGGCCAGAACTGGAATACCCACAATAGATTTGTCAAACTTTGAGAGAAGCGGGTGGGTTTCGAATAAATTAGCTTCTTCCTTTCGAGCTTCATCATACGATTCATCGCCTATGCGATTCCTAACGCACACATAGCCAAGCCCGATATTCACATCATCTGCCTCTACTTTATTTAGCAGACCTTCGGGAGCTTTGTCGGCTTTGGTAACAACAGCCAGAGTTCTCAGGCCGGTCTTGTCCACACGCTGTGACATCCTAATGGATTCACAAGTCGGAAAATCAACAGTTGCAGACAAAACATTCAAGATAATGCTCTCCTCTGGTTTTATGTACTCTGTTATTATGGCTGATATCTGCTCATATATATCATCAGGCTGCCCATGAACAGGCACCCTAGTGATTCCAGGCAAATCAACCATTGTAAGATCAGGTACGCCATTTTTCTTCACAACTAACGTTAATGGGGTGTGTGATATACCTTTACCAGAGCCAGCAATCTCATCAGTTGCTTGATTTATGGCATCAGAAATATGGGTCTCATCAGTCTGGACAGTTCTGCCCAGAAACCAAGTGAAGCTCCGGGAGAGGATCTGAGTGATGCTGAAGCCTCATTATGAGTGGCACCCTAGTGCAAATGCCTTGGCCTCGTGGAAGGTTGATGCCAGCAAGTGATTCAAGAACACTGGACTTTCCGGACGATTGGTCACCAACCACCACAATTGTTGGAAGCTGTATACCTTCCTGCATGACCTTGAGGTGGCGGAGCTTGTCAATTGCATCAAGTAGTGGCGTATTCGGTCATTGTAAGACGACACGATCGGTGCCTCAAATGGAATAGCCAGTTCTTCATCATCAATCATGGATATGGGTTGTATAAGTATAGGAACAAGAGCGCAGAGAGGAGTTTTGTGTCAGGGATTGTTGGAGTTCTGCTTAGCCATTTTGTCTAAGGTAGTAACCAGTGAGGTTGTCTTTTT